CTCTCACACTCGCTCGCAGCAGGCAAGGCTCCTCATAGTTCAATCTCCGCGAAATTGACTAAGCCCCCATTAAGCTCACAAGAGCAACACCAACCATACCACCAAAAAAACCCAACAGGGACAGGTAGAGGCTTAGGGTTTAGGGTTTAGATTTCTGTCACAGAGTGTTGATGAAAGTTGCTTTTGGGTGTGGGATGTATGCTTCCATCGGTACGATTGCAACTGGCATGCTCTCCAAAGCATCCTAAACCCACCAAGCACCATTTACGTTTAACTCAAGCAGTCATTTAAGCAGAAGCTGAAACTTGAAACATCCCTACAACTGTAATTCGACCCTCAATGGTGCCTTCAAATCAAGACGTGACCCTACCACAATAATTAGGTATACCGAGTATACTGCCCTTCTGCAAGCTCCGGTGCCTTATTCGGGTTCCTGTTATAATTTAAGGTATATTCCTGAATTAATTAATCTTATTAGGGCTCCTAGTTAAAATTTTAAGGTATATTCCTGAATTAATCATACTTGGGTTCCCATTATGATTTAAGGTATATTCCTGAATTCAGGGGGTTTTGGAGTCTCCGGGCGGGTCATAACCCTAAACCCTAAACCCCTAAACCCTAACCCCTAAAACCCTAAAGCCCTAAACCCTAAACCCCTTAAACCCTAAACCCCCGTGGGAGTCAGGCCAGGCCTGCAACGTCTGAGACGTGCTGCTCGCGGGCGCGCGGGAGGTCAGGGCAGACTGCGCCCTCGTCATGGAATGCTTCTTTTTTTTTAGGGGTTTAGGGTTTAGGGTTTGGGTCTTTTTAAAGAGGCCGGAGGTCTTTGCAGTACTGTTGAGTTTTGTCATTCCGATGTACAATAGGCTTTTTGAAGCTTCGAAGAGCTTCCAATCTTCCGAGCTTTCTTCAGAAATGCTGTTTAGACTTCGAAAATACATGAGAATTTTCGCAGTTGGGTATGTAGGGGATTTTCTCTGAATTTAGTGCACCCGGAAAGATCTGAGAAGAATTGGACCTTGGAACAAAAAACAACGAAAAACCTGCGTTCTGCGCACGGCCTCAAAGCTGTCTTAAGCTCCTCAACTACGTCAGAGAGAGAGAGGAGAGAGATGTGTTCGCCCAACATGCATGGTCTTAGAATGCATTGGTGCTTTAGGCTTGAACTAAACTGGTTTTATGGTAGGGGCTCGTTCATGAGAAACGGACATACTGTTGATGATCCATTACCTTAAGGACCCTAAACTATGGGAATTATGGTATACCCCTTATTATGGGTCATGCAGGATTTATACCATCAACCGTAGTTGTCAAAGACGTTACAAGTTTGCACCCAAAGTTGGCGTCCAACTTCTACCAGTACTGTCATTCATCAAGTATCCTGCAAAAATGATGTTCCTAGCAGGGGTCTGAGCGGTCGTCCTTCGCAGAGTGTCAGGCCATCGGCGAAAGCTGTAGACTCTCTGAAATCCCGCGTTGCGAAGACTTGGTGCAGTGGCTCTAGTTCAAATTCAACGAGCCAACTACGAAACCACAAAAAAAACACTGCCGAAGTCTGAAGAAATCTCAAGTGGCGAAACTGAAACCCTCCTCAGCAGCCCTCTGCCGTCCTCAAGCTCGTGGAAGGGGTCGGCCCCACATCTGGGATGCTACGCGCAGCCGGAATCACATCTGCCTGTTCCCTGACGGTGCGGCAATCGAAGGGTTTAGGGTTTACAGTAGGGTTTGAACTTGTGTAAGAAAACAGCTTGACAATGTGTACTGAATGCTTATGTGCAGCGGTGTTGTCCCAAACCCTGCAGTACTAGGCCTAGACCGGCAGCCCTTAAATTAAACCCCCGCCTTTGTTGATCTAAGGCCCTTCTGCTGCCCGCCAAGCTTTGGGGTTATGTAAGAGAGAACTTCCCGTCGTCAGCTAAAACCAACTGAGACTGCTTTGAACATACACAAACACACGGCATAAAGGTACAATTCGATTCCACCTTTACGAACCTTCATCAACTTGGCTCATCTATAGAGCCAAGCCAAACCTTCCCGCAGGCAACCATAACTCAAGGAATATCCCGAAAACGTAGAACCCTTGAGCTGAAGTAGTCCTGTTTGTTTCGGCGGATCTGGGCATTTGCAAACCCTATAGACCCTAAACCTTAAACCCTTTTCCACAGGCTTGAACTGAGCTCGCCCGGCCAAATCCCTCGCAGCACATCGCACTCAAACCTTAAACCCTAAACCCTAAACGCAAATACCCAGGTCCGCTTTTCAACTCTTCGGTCCAGGCTGCGCTGGGCTTTCTTGAGTGCTGGCCGCAGTGCTCGTGGATGTGTCCGGAGGGTTGCACCTCGGCTTGCTCTTGGTAATTAGCTTCCTTCTAATTAAACTTGTTGCTAGCACTGTGCCTTTTTCCCTGTGCCTACACCAAACAAGCCAAGATGTTCCAGGAAGATGGCCGGTGGATGCACGGAGTGGCAAGTCAAGGTTGCCTGAAAAGAAAGCCTGCCACAAGCATCCAAGGCACGTGTTCTCGAGTTCCTCCTCACTTCTGGGCACGTGGAAGAGGTCGTAGCTCTCTGCTGTGTTCAGGAGGCTATCGCAAGCCGGCGTGTCCATGCAAATGAAGGTCGCGCTGTTGGCGCAAACGTAAGGTGTAGGATCGACGTTCATCAGGGCTTGCATTACGAGTGTCTGCAAATGTGGGCATATGCCAGGACACTCCGCAATGCAGGACGGCGCAAGGTCCTCCAGGCTCATTGTGGGCTAACGTCCAACTCTACATTACGGAGTCGAAACCGAACAGAGGCAGTGAGCAGCGATCTACTGTATCCACATGCTTGGGGTATAATGAGAGGGCTTAGCAACGAGGCTACGAGCACGCCAGGAATAGGATCACGGCAGTTCAGATGCTTGTGACCCCCCGAAAATGGCTTTTTTTTGTGGCTTTTTGGGATGCTTCGATAGAAGGGCCTGAAAATTGTAGAGCCGAACACAACAAGCCTCAAGAACTCGATGAGGGGCGGAAAAGAGTTCAGAGGATCTGGGTAGCTAAAGACCTCAGCCCCGCCCACGCAAACCACAACTTCACGGCATCGACAACTCTCTGACAACCCGATTTCTGAGGTAGGGAGAAAGAACAGAAAGAGAGAAAGAGAGGGAGGCCAACGAGAGATCTGAGTCGTAGTACTCGACATAAGAAGCATCTTTTTGGTCTTTTCTTCTACAGAGCAGGGCAGGGGCCTCAGCTCTTTGTATCTGGGCTCTCCCTTTGATTCTGCTCCTCGCTCCATCTTGAAACCCGACAACCCGGATCTGCCGGCCCCAAATACCACCACGACGATCGTAATTTCAAATCTTACCCTGAAGGAAGTCATCACTGAATCCCACAATCTGGAGCCAAAACTCGAATTCCTAGAAACGGATGACCTAGCTGGACCTTGCTCATGAGCCTCGGACTGCAGCCATCACTGAAACTCCAATATCCCTCGTTTCAGGTTGAGGGATTCGGGGCGCCATCCTCCGCAGATGTAAGGAAGATTCCCTGATCAAGGGGGATCCGGGCCCCAAAACTTGTTTTTCCGGATGCTCAGCTGCCGTGGGCTTGGGTAGCTCCCCAACCCTGGAACCCCTAAACCCCGAAGCCTTCTGCCAAAAGCCCCAGAAACCCTCGAGCCCTCCAAAACCCTACGGTTTAGGGGTTTAGGGAAGTTTAGGGATTTAGGGCTTAGGGGTTTAGGGTTGAGGGGTTGAGGGGTTTAGGGAAAACCCTCCCTGCCTTGATCGCCAGCAGCAGGGAAGACCCCGAGCAAGGAGACGACTCTTCCGCGGCGCCAGCCTTTCTGGGCCCAGGGCCTACTCTGTAGTCGAAAAGACCTACCTTTTTAAGGAATTATATATAGAAACCCCTAAAGAAGTAGGTCTTTTCGGCAACAAGTACTCTGTAGTCTTGGTGTAGTTCTTTTCCTTGGGTTTTCTTCGTTCACGATTTACGATCCTAGACGAAAAACCCTAAAAAGGAACTGCAATGGAGACTATAGCTACAATGTGAGATAAGGTTTTAGGGGGCCAAGGGCCTGAAGAAAGCACCTGAATAGTTCTCGGGCGTAGGGTTCAAGGGCTCTGTCATGTCTGCAAGGCTTGCAGGGATTTCGGATTTTGGGCTGTAAGGCACGTCCACAAGACTCGAGACCTCCCTGAACCCCCCTAGTAGATGAGAGCAGGCTCTCATTGGGGTTCTATTTTTTGTCATGTGTTTCATGTAAGGGCCTAGAATCCTAGAACCTAGCCCTAAACCCTAAGCCGTTATGACAACTTGAGGCTTAGGGATTTGGGGTCTATCTGTATTTTTTAGTTGATCTGGGGCGTTCCGCGATTGAGGAATGTTGGGGTGGAAAACGATTCCTCTCAGAGATCAAGATTGGGGTTGCTCAGGCATCTATTGTGGTTATTGTGTTTCCTTCTCCTTGCTTGACTTATTGATTCTTATTATTGTGACTACTACCACTACTACGGCGACGGCGACGGCGACGACGACGACGACGACGGCTGCTACAGCTACAGCTACTGCTGCTGCTACTGCTACTGCTAATGCTACTGCTACTGCTACTGCTACTGCTACCACTACTATTGCTGCTACTACTACTACTACTACTACTACTACTACT